GAGGAGAATTGGAAGAATTCTAAATGCATTTTCTAATTGTATGTTATTGATTGTATAAACAACAGTGTAATAACAGACAGCTCTCTGATGACGTATGGTGAACTTCTCCAATCAATTTGTTCACACAAACCTGTCCCTTCTTTACAATGGACTGCAAGCTCCTATTCAGATCTACCTCCATTCAATCAACAACCAGTGAATAGAACCAAGTCTCTGTCCCAAATTTTTGTCTTTTCGATAACCCATTTCACTCTAATGCACATCAAAATATGCACTACTCGCTACTTCCGTTACGTCATGACTAAGTACCAAAGTATGAGCAATAGTAATGGCGAAACTTGCCATAGCATTTTATATTTCTTTGAACTACATTTGTTTGCTGACTAACCTTAGCTATCCTCTTCTGGATTGTTTGGCCCTGCTTCATTTTGGAGAAGTAGTGGTAGTACAGCGAGACATAAGTCATGATAGACTTCTCATCGGGATGGGGAACCATGACATCTTCCACATCCAGGAGCTGCATTATCCCAAACTCATCCTCTGCCAAAGTGAAAGCATGGGTGAGGCTCCTCTTTGGATCATCCTGGCGTAGTCGGTTGTAATCAAAAAGATCAGGCCTGGAACAATGTTATCATTAAATAATGAGACTGAATTTGTGGAAAGGGAACATGAAATACTGATCCTGCTATCCACTCTGAATACTACCGATGGGCGTGAATAAGAGCATTGAAGGCCAGTCCATCTCTCCAGCTGCTTGAGAAGTCTTGCACATTGACATTGGTGTAACCGGCGGTCTTACGCTGACACCAGATCAATAGAGCGTCTTTGGCTGAGCGTCGTGCAGCACTGGCGTCACCACCAGCCTGAAACCAAAACAGAATGTAAAACAGAGTGACAAACACACCTTTTGCTATTAAGACTCTTACGAGTCTATGCTATTAAGACTCTTAATTTAAAAGTCTCTACAGGGGCTACTCTAAAGGCCTTACCTCAACAAGATTGATGGCTCCAATCTGGAAGCGGAGAATGATGATCCAAATTAGCCCCAGGATTAGGGTTTTGTCTCCATCCACAACATTTTCTGGACCAATCAAATCTACGCGTATCTATAGGAAGACGAACAGAGAGAAAAAGGATAACCAACGATTATAAAGTGCATCCCTTAAAAGAGTAGTTCACTTTAAAAAAAACTTTTGTTGATAATTTACTCACCCCCATGTCATCCAAGATGTCCACGTCTTTCTTTCTTCAGTCGAAAAGAAATTAAGGTTTTTGATTCCAGGATTTTCTCCATACAATGCACTTCATTGGGAACCAAACGGTTCAAGGTCCAAATGAGAGTTTTAGTGCAGCTTCAAAGGGCTTTAAACAATACCAGACGATGAATAAGGGTCTTATCTAGGACCCTTCGAGTCATGACTCGAAAAAAGATTTGTTCATTTTGATGAACGAGTTTGAACTGAGCACGGCGAGCATGTGTGCTTATAAAACTTTAACCTTTTTATTTATTTTTTAAATGGCTGATCATTTTGCTAGATAAGACCCTTATTCATCGTCTGGTGTCGTTTAAAGCGCTTTGAAGTGGCAATGAAACTCTTTTGGACCTTGAACCGTTTGGTTCCCTTTGAAGTCTATTATACGAAGAAAATCCTGGAATGTTTTCATCAAAAACCTTAATTTCTTTTCAACTTAAAAAAGAAAGACATGGACATCTTGGATGACAATGGGGGTGAGTAAATTATCAGCAAATTTTTTTTTAAAAGTGAACTACTCCTTTAAGAGTTTATCCACAGTTTACTTTACTTTGTGAAAACAATGTGTATTAAAAGATTAATATTTGTATTGTACTTCTTTACTTTCAGTGTACCTTGGTTTTAAGGAAGGTAATGGCATTGCTGTTGTTTTCCAGACAGTGAACTCTTAGGGTGCGTCGACTGGGATTGGGCAGTTTCTCCCCAGAGATGAGCTCCAAAAGTCGCACGAGATGCACACCAGTTCTTAGCTCAGTGAATACATCGGTCAACTGAACCTCTTCCTTTAAAGTGCATGCACATTAAAAGATAATTACACACAATTTCCACCACACCCAGTTTATACAATCAAATAATCATAAAGTGGAAAGACAATAAATGTAAACAAGTAAGGTTGTAGACAGTGACAGTGAAATCCTTAAATCCAATAATTGAAAATATGCAGTTTTAGTTGAAGTTTTGGCATGAAATTAGCTGCTGGCTTTGTCTTAACATTGTGCTTGGATAATTGCCACTGTATTCCACTATGACATGACTCATTCAAACTACTTTCAGTAAAGCCACCCTGCTCTCAGCTTTTAAGCAAGAGCCTTGCAACCACTCCCTAATCCATGTGTTGTGGGAATCTGATGTCTCTGAACAGATCTGCTTACTGCCTCCAATAGGCTGTTTACCTAGGGAATGAACTGAGGGACCTTAGAGCACACCCTGCTCCTCTGGTAGGTCCTCCTAGGAGTTGTAGTTCATCACTCAAGAGCAATGATACATATAAAAGAAATCTGCTTGCAATTTTTACATATTTCTTGTTGTTGCAACTTTCATAGTTGCTTTTAAAAGCAAGAGCGATGATATCAGCTAACTGCTACATGTAACTGACTATCGACTGGTAAAATGCTGTGTGTTTGGGTGGAGTATATTTTCTCTGTAAGTAATATTCGGCTATTTTTACTGATCTGGATGACCTTTTATAATAAACATGTTATGAACAGTGTCGTTTGATACAGAACAATACACAGGAGTAAATGAGGAAGGGGAAAGGGAAAGGGAAACGTTTCAAACATGTCATTTTTTCAGACAGCTGCCTGTATAAGCTATTAATATATTTGTGTGCCGTTGTAGCACCACTTGTCTTTTTTAACATCTTCCTGCTGTTTATTATGCGAGTTAAGTCTCTCAGTTGGTTCACACAACAATGGCAGCAAGTATGAACGGAGGTAATATGTAACCACTGTTAAACATAACACTCAAAGTGAGACATACAGTGGAAATATCTGGTATAAAACAACATGTGATGACAAGTCAAGGCGGTACTATTTCCTTCCTAAATCTAATTTTGGTGATGTTGATGTAAGACTGCATTATCTGTGCTTTTCTCTCACCTGTGCTGATCTGTCACAAAAGGTTTGTGTAACAGTGTATAACTGAGTTTTCATTTAAGCATACCTGCCACTTGCTTTCATTATTCTTAAACTCAATCTGACATCCGTGTATTTAAGAAAAACCAGTGGTCTGATTTGTTTAAATACTTACCATGAGACAAGACCATAAAGTATATAGATGATAATGCAATGAACAATGATTAAAATAATTATGACCTTAACTGGGTTCAAGGGTTCACAACTAGAGGTAATCATGCTGGAGTGAGCACATTACATAATAAACTACAGTAAGTCACAGGACTGGAGTCAGGATTACTAACATTATATTACACTAGATATCACCAGAATTATCGCAATATCCAGTCGTGAATCACGAAAGTTTATGTAAAGATTGCTGAATCATCAACATATTTCTGATTAAACTATGGGTGGATTATTAATACATTTATAGATAGCTATCTGTAGCTAGATAATTACTATTAGAAAAGTTGTGTTGGTGTTTTGTTGTGCAGCATTGAGGTTCATGAAGGCGTTGGAAGGATCTGTTCATACCCCATTCTTTGAAAAGACACTGTTCATCCATTTTGTGTAGGTCTTCTTCTGCACCGTCATCCGCTGCTCCTGAAGCTCTCGGAATCGGCCATCAGACTCCTCTCCATCTCCTTGTTTAGACATCTCTTGACTGTGTCAGGCCCTGATAACAACAATTGAAAAATGCATGTAAATCTTTCAAAGACACAAGAATCGCAAATTTCTGCTTCACCTCACGTCCTGCACCAGAGCTTGTTCATTTACAATAAACAGCTGCCCAAAATGGGCTTAAACATTAAGCCATACACATGACTGGTGAAGCTTTTGCATTAGGGATTTTTTAGATCTTCTGGGAAGTTAAAGTAAAAGAAGATAGCACCAAGGAAAGTTCACTGTGAAAGTGTTGAACATGACCCATATATACTTTGTGTATTAATGCAGAAATGAACGTATCAGGGCAATCGTGTCTCTCTTACTGACAGTGTAATATGTACGAACTTTACAGACACATTTTAAAGCATCATAAAAATACCTAGCATTTTTAAATCAGGTCATATCATTGTATTGGTCATCATATACATTCTTTGAATATATATGGCCATCAAGGATTACATATACTTAGTAAACTGGTCAACATTTAAATTCTTAATTTTCCTTTTTCAAATGTTATACTGTACCTTATCCACATTTACAAAGAAGTGAAATAAATTGTGACATTTGTTTAATCAACTTTAATATATATATATGCAAGTCTCCTGTAGTATTACATAATTTTGCAAACAACTCACTGTAGATTCATGATAGCCATGTTGTCATTTGTATATCCCACAAAGAATAGAAAATTACGATATATTTTGTCAGTTAGGTTACGATGCACAGCATACAATAATTTGAATTCACTTACCCTTCTCAAGGTTTTTCAACTCTTAAACAGTCAAAGATTATTAGATATTCATCATGGCAAAACTGGATGATTTGAGAGTAATCCGATAAATCATCTTTAAGACTGATCAGTATTGAGGAACTGAACTGAACTTTGATGCAGTTGTAATGAACCGAAAGGGAGGGTAATTCTCACTCACCTAGTAATGTGCTACTTTGGGGGTAAAGGTTGCAGTCATATTCATTATTTTGTGCAATTCAGCAGCACACACCTCTCTATATGCCAATCCAGGAACAGCCATGCCAGTGCTATTTTAATTGATTACAGTTCAAAAAAGATTTAGTAGACATTCAAGATATATAATTTCAAAATAAAGTGAAACAATTTTAATTTGAAATAGAAACATTTATTACATTCCCTTTTTTTAAAAGGGTGTATAATATAAAAAATCTTTTATTTTTTTAACAATCAATTACACATTAACGATGGCTGGAGGTTATATATATATATGCCAAACGCTCATTAAAGTATAGGCAACACCATCAAACACCTATATAAATGTACTAATTGTCCCAAAAACATGAAAAGATAAATTTTTGTAATCACTTTTTACAGTAATCTTAATTTCAAACATGATCTTTCATGTTCACAAGCCACAAGAGTTGAACTAATTACAGTCTAGTTCATGTAATCCACCTCTGAGCTGACAGAAACCATCCACGTATGTATTAATTAAAATGTACATATGATTATTGTAACAGTGTTTAACACACACATTTACTTTCGTCAGTACTGATGTATATACAGCAAAGTGGAGTTTTCATGATTAAAACTGATTTCATTATATAACAGAAGTTACTTTGCACCTTAGAAATATAAACACTATTTAATTTGTAATTTTATCTTACTGTCATTGTATACATTGTTAATATTTAAATGTAAAATATAAATATATATAGAAGGCATAAATAGACTTGGCAGCCTGAATGCCAATCTCTCAAAAAACTGAAATTGTAGAATAGTTTATAAGAATTATTTTTTTATTTTAATTTCTTTAAATGCTTGCTGCTATAAACTATAATTATTCACTAACTAGACAGTGTCAGACAAATATTATAGACAACAAAAAACCTTGGCAAAACAAAAAAAGTGCTGTTATTATGTGTAAATGTATTCAATGTCATGTTCAATAAATCAAAATATCTAACACCCAGCATGAGAAAAGAGTGTATGTAGTAACTTTCTATTAAAAAGTTACATCTAAATATTAATAATGAGCAGAATTCATTTTAATTGCTTCATGAAACACTGAATACTGTTTCAATTTCCCCACAGTCCATTTCAGGATTATGATGCAATCATTTTCAAGTTCATACAAAAAGTGTGCATTCAAGGAAAAGGTTGATGTAAAAAAGAAACTGTAAGACTATATTGTGCTGCAAAATTAATTGAATAGCTATGTAACATCTGTGGATATTCACACTGTGTCAGAATGAGTGAGATGAATGTATACTTCTGTCAGTGCCTGTGACAGTTTGTCATGAATAGGATGATTATTTTTGGCTGCTGTTATGCACAATTAACAACTAACATTTTTATTTCATATGAAATATAATATAACATCTTGAAAGCACTGTATAAAATGATCTACAACCGCACTGCCATCTATTTTCACAATCTGAAAGTACATGGTCAAATAACATAATATCAGGGATAAAATTTAGAGGTAACCATATTATTCTATGGGTTGTAATTTAAATTAATTTAAAATGCCACGTCTTTCAAATATATTAATATATTTGTTCTTTAACTCGGAGTTAATGAAATTGCATTTTAGGCATATGAAAGTCACAGAAGTCTAATGTCTAATTTTGACCATCAACAGCACTGTTGAATACAAAAGATGGCTTGACCAATAAAACGTCATCCCTTTTTCATTTTGTGCAAGCAGCTGGCTGGTAAAAATACATGAAGGTGCTCAATCCTCCTGGTGATTGTACAAGATCTCTGCGGTGGGGTCCTTCCTGTGAGACGGAGGCACCAGGTGATTTGGTAGCTCTGCAGGAAGCTCAAATCCCTCAAGTTTGACCCTAATAAGGTGCTGAGCGAGAGCAAATTCTTCATCATCCAGCATCCCGTCCTTATCACAGTCTGCCAGCTTCCAGATCTTTCCCAGTACGGTGTTGGGCAGACGAGAACTCATCATCTCCTTCTTGGCATTGATGCCAGTTACCTTCCCATTGACAGGCATCAATGTGTAGAAGATTTCATCGTAGCGATGTTTGTCACGACTTACGATCCAATCCTCAGTATCAGCCCCTGCACTGATACCCTCACCGTAGCCATGGCCAAAAGGCCCGTCGGTAGAGTCTTCAAAGGCTCCACCCATTACCATCTGAGATGGCTGTTTGCTTTCTTCCTCTCGGATCATGTTCATCAGGCTCGAGATCTTGGTGGACAACATTCTGTCCACAGATTCAATCAACTTCAATTTCAAAGAGGGGAACTTGCTGAAGTCGTAGTGCTGCAGTTGCTCCTACATTAGTAGATGTGAGTGACAGAGGGAGACATTTAATGTCAAATTTAAGGGTCTGTTATAATATAGCATTAACAGATAACACAGTGGGTTATAGGAATATTTTGGTTTCATTATTCATTTTTAAAGATCATGGCACAGATTTATAAAGTAAGGCCTACATCCAAATCCTGAAGTGGTTAGTTCAGTGATATAATGTCTAATTCTGGAGTGAATCAATGTCAACAACTTGGGGCTCTATTTAGAGCGTGGCCTTTATCTTTAAAGTGCTGCCTGGAAGCTGTCTGGTCGGAAAGTTTATTGTTAGTACATGTATAATTAGCGAATGTTATTATAGTTGACTGCTTTTTTTATATATGAAATAAAATTAGGCATCCCTGGGGGTTCATTAAATGTGTAAAACCGAATGTCAGGTGCGTGCCTGTAAATCTTTGGAAAATTATATGAAACATTACATCGCTTGATCGGCATCTTATTTTCACATATATTTCGGTACAATTTCTGATGTGGGGCTAGTGTCTACTGATTCATGCTGGCTAAACATCTCCACGCAAGACCTGAAGAAAGTGAAAGTACTCTTCATGAGACAATAGCAGGGCAGGGACTCAAGCATTGTGCTAAAACACTGTACAAAACAAACATTCCTCAGATCTACAGCCTGGAATCCATCATACATCTGCACCAATTAATATAATTTAATAACGAGCACAGCAGTTATGCAGGAAATTGCATGCAAGAACAGATTTAAAAAATGCTGGTTAGCTTGCATCATGGTTAGTTTTGTTTACTTTGTAAACATATGCAGAAGCCATAATATAATATAATATTTCCTCATGTTCCATGGACACTGGCCGGGTCTTACCTGCATTTTAATGACATTAGGGAAATCTCCAGGTGAGATGTGGTGCTCCCTCTGCAGTATCTGATAGATCTCAGGCAGGTGGGCAATAAGCTCCTCCTTTTTCTTCTCTTTCCCAAACAAGGAGGGCATTTCTTTCTTTAAGTAGCTGATGATATAAGCATGCACCTATAAAACACACAGCAGACTATAGTCAATAAATTCATAAAGAGGTATGGTGTGAACAATGGTGCGTAGCAAGTCAGTTCTGCCCTCACCTGAGCTGATTTATAGTAAAATAAGAAATAATACAATTTCTTATACTATTATAATAAATTACACAGATCTAATATTTAGTCACTACAAGTACGTTGCATTTTTGCAAACTATAGGCAAACTATTTAAAGCTAAAACTAAATAAGGACATAAAACATAATAAATAAATAAATTTCACATCATATTTATGAAAGTAATCTAAGAGTGGAAATGCCATCACAAAGCTTGAAGTTTCGTTAAAAAGCAGAGGATTAATATCAGTGATGGGGTTTGGGGGAAGTCTTATGGTTTAACTTTTTCTCACATGACATCCACCTCCTGTTACTCTAGCATAGTTGCATAATCACACACCATCTCTGTGTTTACACCTTGTAAGTGCCCTTGCCAAAGAAACATTCAAAAGCATCTGTATTTATATAAACTTTTTCCTCAATATAGAGGAAGTACACCAAAAGAGATCTAAATAAAGTTTGGGCTTTTTCCTTTTATGCTATGTTTATTCCTCTTAAGGAATGATTGGCGGCTCGAGGAGGACAGGAAAGGCGTAAACATGACGAGTGGCAAGACATAGTGGGGTGGAGAGGTTAGGAAAAATAAGGGCTGTGCTCTCTGAGCACATTACACACATTCCTTTGTACCACGGAAAGGGACTTTTCTGGGCTTTTCCAGGAGATGGAGAAGGCATTTAACTGCCTCACATGGCTTTACCATTACAGGAAGGCATGCACAGGGCTACAGGATTCCTGTTTGCTGAACGTGGTTGGAAAATATTGCGGAAGAGATAAGACGCACTTTCTGTCATGGTTCCATGAGTGAATTGTTTATAACGTCCAGATTTAAGTGCACGACGCAACCAGGTTGTGTTGATTGGGGCTCATGTGGCACAACGTGTAAGTTTGAACAGTGCAGTCAGCCAAAAACAATAGCGGTTGAACTAAGGTCAAACACAAAATAACAGACAATGAGCAGCGATGTTGGAAAGTTTCAGCATGGGTTTTACAACCAGCAAGGTTTAAATATATTAAAACTAAATCGGCACTTTGCCGTCTTTCTTCTGCACTGGAAGCTCCTGTCACAAGACTAATGCCTTGTGTCTGTAAACATACTTGGCAATAAAGCTCATTCTGATTAATATAAAACAAGCCAAATTAATATATAATATAGATTTTAGGGTTCCCATTCTTTCATGTACACCAGATTCAAGGTGTTCACTTTGTTTTGTCGCTTTCTTCACTACTTCACTTTGTTATTCCTGCTTTTAACATTTATTTCACGCTGGTTTTAGTTCTACTTTTTTTTAAGGAAACATTACTTGATAATAAATATGAAAATAGAGAGTATATTATACATTTGCAACAATGTGTCAACTAAAGTATTAGTAGTAGGCTATTAGGTTACAAGTTAGGGTTCAGGTTAGTAGATTAAGTTGACATGTAATTACTTATTAGTCAGTAGAATGTCTGTTGGGGGACCATCACAATAAAGTGTTAACATATATTAAGCAGACAGTACTAATAATCTGATGAGACAATCATAAAAATGGTGGCTAACCAATTTTAAAAACTTCAAAATGCATTTTTGTGTGGACCATTTAAGCTGTGACTACTACACACACACTACTTAGACAACCTACCTTAGCAAGACGAGCCCTTTTGATGAGGTCATTCAGCTTACGCAGGGCAGCGTTGCGTGGCAAACCCTGGATGTCCCTGAAGAGATCTTGTGTTTCAGCTTCAAACAGACGTCGATTTTCTGCATTTTGGAGAGGTTTGGCCCAAAAAGAGCCGAGATAGACCCTCACCACCTCTGGGGTATTGATCACCTTCCCGAGCGACCACATCAGTGCACCATAAACACGCATCAGCTGCTGTGTGTCCACTTGGTCAGCCTTGTTCAATACCACACGGATTTTGTCATCCTGACCACGGAAAGCTTTGATCGCTTCAGAAAACTCATCAGATATGTCCAGCTTATGGGCGTCAAAGAGAAGAATGATTCGGTCCACTCGCTCTCCGAACCAACGCAGAACCTCAGAGAAATCATAGCCTGCAGTGGAAAAATATCAATAGAACAGAATAAGAATTGAAATACTGTATACTTTATTGTCCAGGTAATGGACAATGAATTATACACCATAGTGACGTACAAATACAGTAGTAAAACAATAGTATAAAATAACATAATACTAAAACATTCTTTTGACCTAAAATATTAACTTGAAAAACCCCCTTGAGATTTTAAGCTAATATCGTAATAACGTAACAGCACATTCACGTTCATGTTTATGATTCTCAGATATTGGTTAATGGTCACATGACAAGCTAATAAACAAGAAAAACACTTCATATTTTAGTGTCACATTTTCAATATTTTCATTTCTTAAATATTTATTTATTTATTTTAATTTAAATTTTTATGATTCAATTAATTATTCACTTTTCATCATCAACTCACAAACACCAGTTTGGGAAATCCAGACATAATATATATTATGAAAAAATATGCATAATATTTACAAACCCGATTCCAAAAAAGTTGGGACACTGTACAAATTGTGAGTAAAAAAAGAATGGAATAATTTAGAAATCTCAAAAGCTTATATTTTATTCACAATAGAATATAAATGACATATCAAATGTTGAAAGTGAGACATTTTGAATTGCCATGCCAAATATTGGCTCCTTTTGGATTTCATGAGAGCTACAAATTCCAAAAAAGTTGGGACAGGTAGCAATAAGAGGCCAGAAAAGTTAAATGTACATATAAGGAACAGCTGGAGGACCAATTTGCAACTTATTAGGTCAATTGGCAACATGATTGGGTATAAAAAGAGCCTCTCAGAGTGGCAGTGTCTCTCAGAAGTCAAGATGGGCAGAGGATCACCAATTCCCCCAATGCTGAGGCAAAAAATAGTGGAGCAATATCAGAAAGGAGTTTCTCAGAGAAAAATTGCAAAGAGTTTGAAGTTATCATCATCAACAGTGCATAATATCATCCAAAGATTCAGAGAATCTGGAACAATCTCTGTGCGTAAGGGTCAAGGCCGGAAAACCATACTGAATGCCCATGATCTTCGGGCCCTTAGACGGCACTGCATCACACACAGGAATGCTACTGTAATGGAAATCGCAGCATGGGCTCAAGAATACTTCCAGAAAACATTATCAGTGAACACAATCCACCGTGCCATTCACCGTTGCCGGCTAAAGCTCTATAGGTCAAAAAAGAAGCCATATCTAAACGAGAAAACCAGAAGCGCAGGCGTTTTCTCTGAAATGGCACTGGTACTGAAATGGCCAGCCTGCAGTCCAGATCTTTCACCCATAGAAAACATTTGGCGCATCATAAAGAGGAAGATGCAACAAAGAAGACCTAAGACAGTTGAGCAGCTAGAAGCCTTTATTAGACAAGAATGGGACAACATTCCTATTCCTAAACTTGAGCAACTTGTCTCCTCAGTCCCCAGACGTTTGCAGACTGTTATTAAAAGAAGAGGGGATGCCACACAGTGGTAAAAATGGCCTTGTCCCAACTTTTTTGAGATGTGTTGATGCCATGAAATTTAAAATCAACTTATGTTTCCCTTAAAATTATGCATTTTCTCAGTTTAAACATTTGATATGTCATCTATGTTGTATTCTAAATATAATATTGAAATTTGAAACTTCCACATCATTGCATTCTGTTTTTATTCACAATTTGTACAGTGTCCCAACTTTTATGGAATTCGGTTTGTAAATAGACATAATGTAATATATAACAAATCAACCTTATAAAATAACTAAAAAAAAAAATACAAAGATTTAAGACCAAAATTCATATTTAAAACACACCTCAGATGTCACCTCTAAATTGTAAATGCATTTTCTGTAAAGCTGCTTTTTAAATTCATTTGAAATGTATATTCCACAACTGGGGAAAACTTTGTTAAACTGCCCTTCATAAATAAATAATGGTTACACCTTTCTTTCTGTAGCTGAAAGAAACAGGACGAGAGAGGGGTGTAACGATCAGTTTTTAGGTCACAGACCAGGCATGACCATGGGAATCTCATAGAGACAGAGACACCATATCAGCCTTCATTCACATGTAGCTCATTATAAGCAAGTGCATGTGTTGATCAATTAATTTTAAGAAATGAGATCCAACTTATCCAGCCACCCACGAGGAAATGAGGAAATTACACTGCTCCAACAACAATGGCATGGATTACACATCACTATAAACATTTTTACAAAACGTTCTGCCAAGATTTTACAAAGGAGGAGCTCATTGCTTACTCTTAGAGTGTGGGAACCATCAATGGTATTCCATGTAAGGAAACTTAGTACAGAAGATGAAAAGTCTTTGCCTTACCCTAAATTAACTTTTTAAAAATAAACATCAAGATTTTAGGTTGAGATTTATATAAATGTGATAAAGGGAATGTCTATTCGGTCCTATCATTAGCCTTTTTTTTTAAACTAAGAGCATAATGACCAACAATGAACAGTTTAAAAATTATATGATATAACGTGCAGTCTAAATACAAGTATGCTGCCCTCATTTGTAAATCTAAAGAATGCAATATGCATCACAATTTAAAGCAGCCACAACACAAATGTCTAGCAGTAAAAAAATCTGTTATTTTCAAATTTTGTAGAAAATTCATAGTCGTATTAAAAATCTAATATGATTGATGCACAAGGCCAATGGTGCATCGTGAGATTCATCAGAGATGCTAACGTAAGAGGAATGCAACCTCAGCTGAGCGGCGCTAAAGCAGGAACAGATGTGTAACGCCCATGTGTCTTATCCCTCATGGCCGAAGTTGCGTCCATACATTTGCACGGTTCTGCGGCTCCATCGCCAGGCCTAATCTACAGTTTGCAGACCCTCTTGCGCCATACTCTGCTGTTGTGCATTTTCATAGATAAAAAATAAACAGCATAACAAGACACATCCCAAAACTGTTAAAAATTGCTTGGCCACTTCTCAGTAGTTCTCTGCCTTTTTAGTTTAAATTAAAAAAAAAACTATGTGAAAACAAAGCATGCTTGTTTTGTTTATTAATGGTCATGTTACACATAAACGCTGGCTGCTACATACTGAGGTGCCAGAATGCTGATGTAAACCCAGAAGTGTGTTTGGCAAGCTCAACTCATGCTTGCAAAAAGAGGAAAAAAGAAAAGTGAAAAATGCTGACATCATAACACCACACACTCATCAGGGTTTCCACTGTGTCTGCTGTTGTCATGTAATGGGAGACAGGGACGGAAACAGCAGAGGAAATTTACAAAGAAACAGGCCAGATCTGGTGACTAAAATGAAAATTAATGACTAAAGCATTATGATTGTTCCTTATTCTGGAAAAACGAGCTTCAGTCCTCAAGGGAGTGAACCAGTCTATCTGTTGTAATGCATCCCATCAAATCTATTTTCAATGAGAAATAGCCAAAGACTGACCGATTTCAGAATAATGAAGAATCCAGCCTGCTAAACAGCACAGTTCATGCTGTGTTAGTCATGTGAAATTATCTTTCATCAACTAAGATTTACCTAAACAAATGTCTAATAAACATCTTTGGAGGAGCACTTGAGAAAACTGTCAAGAGAAGAAACGGGGTGCACTTGATGGTGTACATTTTGTCATTTGTTATCCTATTGCACTGTGTGTGCATAACTCCCGGCCTTTGTTTATAACACAATACAGGACAGACTGGCTCTAAGACAGTATGAGGATCAGAGTGAACATCCTGCTGTACAGTAGGCATTGCAGCCACTGACCTCTGCTTATGCGCTGCTTCTCGCCAGACAAGATCCCCGGTGTGTCAATGATGCTAATGCTCTGCAGAACTTGGTTGGGCATTTGAGAGCAGATGAACCTATCGAGACAGATGGAGAGAGTTCATCACCTCATGTTTTCACTGGAAATGCTGGTGGTAACACTACATTTGTCAGTTGACTAATTTGAGTCATGGGAAACAGCTGAGATGCATTTTCGGCATTTTCAAAGATGCAAGAATCAGGCCTGATTTAAAGGGATACTCCACTTTTTTGGGTAAATTTTTGGGAAACCTTTAGACTCCCCCAGAGTTAAACAGTTGAGTTTCACCGTTTTCAAATCCATTCAGCCGATTTTCTGATATTTATAAGAATATCAGTAAGCAGACAGTTTCTGGTCTCATTGACTTCCATAGTAGGAAGAAAAATATACTATGGAAGTCAATGAGACCAGAAACTGTCTGGTTACTGATATTCTTCTAAATATCAGAAAATCGGCTGAATATATTAGAAAACGGTAAAACTCAACTGTTTAACTCTGGGGGAGTTGTAAAATGAGCCTATTTCCAAAAAAAAGTGGAGTATCCCTTTAAATTGGATACTCTAGCTGTGATAGATATAAAATTACAAAATAAAATCAGTCAAAAAACGTTGCTCAGGTTCAAGTTGGTCACACAAACTATTTGTGCTGACTAACAGAAAGCTACTTGAAAGTGAGTTGTTATTCAAACATTGCTAACCTATTGACAATGGACCTTTTTTGCCCCTCAGAGTTTAGCTGAAATATCGCGAATATTAACAGAGACAAACTTTATGAAAAAAAAAATTGGAATGAAACCTAAAAAAAAGGCATTGCATGCATCCATCCAGAACACGATACTGTCACTGCTTTTAAACATGCTGACTGAGGTGAAGGATCTAATGGAAAGTGGTAAACTATTCCACAACCTTGGGCAACTTTTAGAAGTTGAATGAATAATATATTTACTAAATGTAACTAAAATTATTATTTAATATTATATCTCCATGCTGAGGGAATATTATGGTGATGTTAAGATTGCAGCATTGTCTCAAGTGAGTTTGAGGATCTGTCTTTTTTATTAAAAAACAAAAAAAAACAAAGCCTAAAAGGAAATTTCAACATCTGTGATCAAACATCACCTGTCAGCTGCAAAGCAGGACATGTTGAGAAATAGAGGAAGAGGAATTCAAACAAGTTTCATTTTTCAAGAAATTACACATCCATTTTATTCAAAAACCCAGTAGAAAAAATGTGTTGGAGAGAATGAGGGAAAGAAACTGCTGTGCCTTAATGTGCCATCACATGACGCACAACGAGATCCACAGGAAACGAAGTGCATTGTTTTGAGGTTCCTCTGGAGGAGAGGAGATGTTCTCTGTCAAATGTGCCTTTGACCTCTATAGTGGTCACTGTCAAAGAAGTACTTACCCATTTCCCCTCCACATAAATATCCAGCGAACAGGGGGGAAAATCCTTTGTCTAACTGTCTAGGCACTAAAATTAAACATTAAAACTTGTGGTAGATCATGCAGCAGCTTTAGTTACCTAAAAGGAGAAGTGGCCTTTACACAGTATTTGAGACACTTTGTTTGTTGAAAATATTTGCCTGTAATAGAATGCGTGAGATGAAAGGAAGAAATGAATGAGCGGCAGAATGTGTCTTGGAGAGAAACATGTAAACCTAATGGAAAGGAAGTGATATGCAAAACTACAAAGCAATGTGACATAATGTGTATTTAACATGAATACATTGTCTTTTTATAATTATAATGTAAACCTTGAACTGCACTTGTACCATAACAGACAGATTTCCTATCCTATGCCACTGCCAAAGCAAGATAATAGAAAATCCTTGTTTTGGCAACGACTCGGGCAAGAGAGACATTTGTTACAGAATGTAGCGAGCAAGAATATGTGCCCACGTCCTAGATTTTCCTGCCACATGACATGAGATCTAACAACCATTCTCTTGGCTTAAGCTTGACAGAACATCTCATGAAAACTGAAATATGGTGCTATCAATTTATTCAGCCCCATGGTTAGTTCGCCCAAAAATGGGTAAACAGAAGCGTGCTAGCTGAATAAGTACAGTTCAATAAAGTACAGTTGAATAAAAGCCCAAATTAAATCTGTTCATAACATAAAGAGAACTGTGCCTCTTCAGAAGTCTTGGATTAAATACATTTACAATCTCTTTATGAACTTTTTGAATTGTCAAAATTGAATTCAACATTCAATGGAGGGACAGACATATCTTTATTTGTGTTTCAAACATAAATGACAGCTTAATGTCATTCCAAACCCATAAGACTAAGTAATTGATGACAATTTTCATTTTTGGATGAACTATCCCTTTAATAATCCGTATTTAATAATACTAACTTTGAAACTGAAATCTAAAAAGTAGCGATTAAGCACTTATTTACCTGTTTAAGAAGGCATTTCCGAATGCATTGAGCTTGCGGAAAGGTTTTTTGGGGTCCACAACCAAGGCATTTCCCGGAACAACCCCCTCATTCTCATTGTACATCACAGCTATGAATCCATCTGTCGTTGGTTCAGGGCCAATTCGCATCCCTGGAAAATCCTGCTCCAGAAGATACCTGCAAGAGAGATGTTAAGTATTAACAAACCACTTCTTTGTTGACTGGACCGGCAGAATCAATGTGACAGCACACGCTGACAACAAAATGTCACGGTTGGGTGAGAGTAAATGAATGGAATAATTTACAGTCCTACCTTTAGGTTGAGACAGAATGCAGTAAAAATAAAGACAGTCAATAAAATCAAAGCTAAACAGTGGCACATGACCATTGGATGATGGCTAGAACATGAAAACAGACCTATCCATCAGTCTCACTCTTCCTGTAACTTCCTAGCCAAACCATAAGATTCCTACCACATCCTGCCAGGATGAGAAAGTGTCAAAGGTTTCCAAGCAAAGAAACACACATGGCTTGTCATTAAATTGAACATAAACATAAGGGAATTATAAATCAAACTGCATTCATTGTTAAATATGGCTAAATTTCTCCTTACTGCACATGTGAATGTAATGGAAGAACTTTTAGCAAAAGCATGAACACTTTTTTACAGGTGAGGAGGTGAAAAATAATACAAACAACACAATTTGTATTGGCTTTTCACACTCACATATACAAGCAAGAACTTATAATATACTTAGTGACTTCATTACTCTTTAGACTGGAATGTGGTGCTTAAACAGCCTTCAACATCCATCATTTCCAACTATGACCTAATGTTTCAGATTATTAACAGCTAGTAATAAGCCAGTTCTAGTTTGAGAGGATTTCAACACGAATCATAGAGCTTTTGGATTTTCTTATTTATCAAGAGACTCCATGTCTAGCACAGGATCCAATTAGACCCAGCACAGACATCAAAGCTGGATGCTATTGACCAACAGCGAAAAAGTCAATAAGAAGAATAATGATGCTTTTATGAGTTGTTTGCATAATATCCAGCCTTCTGCATCTCTTCACAGATGAATGGACTATGTGAGCTGGCATATAAGCTGTAAGAAACTCAGAAACTCACTGTAAGAAAAAAGCCTGTTGCAGCAACCACAAAGAGCTGGCTGTACTGAACTTAACACGTGTACATGCTGTTCTATTACCAATTAAATATAAATAAAAGCTAAGTCACAATAAAAATAGTAGTGTCTATCAATATTAAAAAGCCATTATTGGCTTGCTAGACATTACTATTCGATTGCAGAATTAAACATTTAATTACTAACAACATGCACTAAGGGTTAGTTTTGGGGTTTGGTTTATTACGTGTAATTTTGCATATTTTACTGTTATCAGCCTACTAGTATAGTAAAGTGTATGGGTAACAACCCAGGAATAGAGTGTTACCTACTACTCATTCATTCACTGGCAGAAAACTATACAATGTTTTGCTGAAGAGTTGACTTTGCGTTACCTTATAAAAGTGGTCTTCCCTGTGGAATACTGTCCCACCAGGAGGACCATGGGCTTGCTCTGGAAGTCCGCCTGCTCCAGAGCCGGTGAGTGGAAGTCATGGAAGAGGTAGGTCTCCTCCAAAGGCAGCAGTTTCTTAACATAAAGACTCAAAAGTCCTTCAGTCACTGTTTGAAACATGTCACCCTCCTTGTTTCTTCCACCCTGCTCCTTGTTTACCCAAGTGAACATGTTGCCGTTCCTCTTAAAGCTCTCTCTCTTTTATACGTAATGCAAGCTTAGTTCCCTTTTTTATACTGGAGGAATTTAAAACGGTTCCAGTTTTTGTGTTTGTTTGTTTTAAGAGTAGCCCGTCTACTGGCCTCAGCGTGTAGTGCCCAGCTGTGACTGTGACTGTCGCCGTGACTGACCTCACCTGTATCCTTTTATGTGACGCTCATTCTCCAGACTCTAGGTTTGAATATTCATTAGCTACACTGACGCACTGGTTTCTCCGGCTGTTGTTAGGGTGGAGTTTAATTGGGACGTGTTGAATCTGTAGGCATTGGCACTTTCTGACTGCTAGTTATTTTTGGTGAAAACGAGCAGGCTGAAACCCTGAAGAAATTGATGACATGGGGAAAATCTAAATCCACAAGAGAAATTTGAAAAATGCAATGTTTTTTCACCATCATTTCGCAGTTGTGGGCTACAGAACATAATTTAAATAAATAATTTGACAAAACTAAAAAAAAAGCATTTTAAAACAAAGCAAATACACATTACTAGTGTACCTGTTTTGAATAAATCTCGATTATGGACTGGCTCATTTTTAATTTGTTTCAATGTGACTGAAATCCAGTCCAAGCTACTCCCCAATCAGCCAGGCTTGTGCATTTACGTCACCTAGTGGTAAGCAATGAAATAACATAGACTTTATACAATTTATGGCAACTAGGGACAGAAATTCACCAGTAAAATGCCACTGAAAGAAAATAAATGGGCTATATATTTCAAATGTGGACGATTTAAAAAAAACTTTTTTTAAATCTGTTATAATATATTTATATTATATTTTATCTGCTATCTAACATTTTATATATTTCGTAAAATATTGTATTATGTCTATTCAACATAAAAAGAGAAAAAAAGACATGTCACAAAAATGGCACTTGCTCCTTAATAGAAATAATATACTTAATATAACAATGTTAAAAATGGGCGTGGTTTATGGCGTATTATATCATAACATTTCTAAATCAAAGGTTATTAATGTTTCTTAATGGCATTAGTCAGGTGTAAATTATTGTTTAAGACCTCTAATGAAATGTTATGTAATTTATGTAATTTTAAAAAGATTTAAAAATTGTATTAATACTGATCATTAACACATTAATAACATTTTTAATCTCCATTGAAACTTTTGTTTGAGATTTCCACTCAATGATTGCAACCCACTAACTAGACCAATTATAATAATTCATGAAAAAAAAAGAGGTAACAGTATCAGTTTAGAAGAAAAACACTTTGAAATTGATAACATTTCTAGCAAGAGATTTGCCTGATTACAAAAAGTCAGATAAGTGACATATCCATAACAACAGAATTCAGAATTCAGTTTTTCAACAATTTTATATTGATATATTTATACATATATTACACATTCAAACAATACTTGTGCAAAAACCATCCCTACCATGAAAAATGATCTGGATTATTGTATGTGTCTCTGGCAGCATGGCTGGAGGCATAAAGGCATTATTTCAGACTGTTTTAAAAAATAAAATACAAAACACAAAAGGACAATAGATTCTGATGCATAGCATCTATTAATTAGAACATTACAAAAAATAATGTGTCAAAGTGGTAAACGCAGGGAAGGTTAAGTCATGTAAGAATAGGTATTACATGCATAAAAACTGAGGTTTTGCTTTTTGACAATGGAACCCTTGCGGGTTCACTGTTTAGTGCCAATGTAGTCCTTCATGAATGCTCCATAGTCAGGTCCTTTATATCAACTACTACACAGAAACACGTCCACCCCTGCCCTCACCAACAAGACTTTCTAGTCACAAAACTCCTCTCCATTTTAACTGTTCTCAAAACACCACCACAACACAACAGATGTCAGCTCAAGTACTTATTTGCATATTGTACAAAACCACCAAAAAAACCCACCAAATACTAAACTTCTCATGATTACCAAACATGAAGGGTTACCTTGCAGACTTAAAAACCAATCTGAGAGATTCATTTTAGCCTCAAAAGCATTCACTCACTGAAGGCTAACACAATTGACGAGTGTAAACAGCTTTTTGTTTCACTTGGGCTGGATGTTAGTCAACCAACACATCATTTGCTTCCATTTCTCCTCGTCTTGTAGATCCAGAGACGTTAACATTCTCTTGCTAGATTAGAGTTGACGTATTACTCTTCACTTCATCGTATATGTGGTTGACATGGGAGATTTCACTTGCTCAAACCTCCTCTTAAAGGCTTTAACTAAAGGCCCAGCAAGGCACTGTTGTTTCCCGAAGAGCGCGCCAACGCACGAGCACAAGCTGAAGACTCGGACTGTTATAAATCCAAACCTGTCCTGGGTTCTTCCTCTCTCAAGCGAAGTCTTGGCTGGGAGGGCTTCGTGACTCGATATTAGCTGACCCCAATGAAGACGCGAGACTCAAGGGTCCGGGAGGTCAGAGGTGTCTACAGTCACTTTGATGAAGATGGTATCGTCTTTGATGTAGGTTCCGTTCTCCAGGACAGTCTGAGCCACGAAGAGCGGGCAGCCTGAGGCGATGTTCATTTCACCAGTGGGCCGGCGAAAGCTACTGCTACTGGGGTCCGGTTTGAAGGCGTCACCTAAGTGTTTCCGTGCCGGCCCCTGATCCATTAGCATTAATGTTACTTTCTGTTTAAATGGCCAAGGCAGCAAGGCGTCATATTCCCCGCGCATGACCACGAAGAAGAGCGAGAGATGTGTGCCTTTCCCCATTCCATCCCCATTGAGATAAACGCGGGCACACATCTTGTAGCCGAAATAGCCCGTGTAGAAGGGCTGGCTGTAGAGCGAGAGGGTTTTGGAGGCCACGGCTTCCTGTTTCCGCCTTTTGTAGTCACGGATCTTCCAAATGAGGGTACCATTGAAGCTGGCCGTCTCTAGCACCTGCAGCTTCAGGTCCATCTCCGCCAACCGGATGTCATGGACACTCATCATGTCATCGTGACGTGAGAGCTGCTGCTCTAAGGAGCCTGATGACAGTATTGAAAAGTGTTAATTGAAATCATCAATGTTGTACAATATATTGTGATAAATTGAGGCACATACTGTATATTGAGGCATTCTTACCCAGGGTGTGAGAACCAGAACTGGAACCGACACGACCCGAATCGAGAGAAGATACAACTGAACGCATGCTCTCCACAGACCCTCTCAGAGCCTCCACCTCATCCCTCATAGCCCGAAGTGGACGAAGCTCCCGCAGCTCCATCTCAACCTCAAGCAGTTTCTCTGAGTGAGCGCTCATCAACATCTACACACATGAACACATATAGAGAATGGTTTAAAAGGGGGTTTTCATCAAAGGTTCTAATGTCATAGCTGAGTTTCTGGTACTTTAAAGGGGACCCATTATGCAAAATTCACTTTTGAGACATAAATGTGTGTATACAAAACCACCCTACAGAGATAAAAATCCACCCACTCCTTTTTTTAAATCCCCATAAATCATAAGCAGTGTCTCCCAACGACCTGTGTTCAGAATGCGGGTTTGGCGTTACTGTTGGTAACTTACTCAGTTATCAATGAAGACGTTTCGCTACAGGAGTTCAGGTATGTTTATGTATTACATGATTCTGCTTACACAAAGGACCTCTCTCATGGAAAAGTAGGGTGGGAGCAGCGGCTCATTAGCATTTAAAGGGAAACACACTAAAATGGTGCATTGGTGCAAGCCTAAATTTGGCAATTTTGAATGCTATAAAAAATTATCTGTGGGGTATTTGAGCTAAGATTTCACATACACACTCTGGGGACATCAAATAATTGTTTTACATCTTGTGAAAATGGGCATACTAGGTCCCCTTTAAAATATTTTTATTAGAAGTTCGGAAAAAAAAGTCAAATCTTAAAGGGTTAGTTCACCCAAAAATGAAAATTCTGTCAGTATTTACTCACTCTCATGTTGTTCCAAACCTTTATGTGTTTATTTGTTCTGCTGAACACAAAGGAAGATAATTGGAAGAATGTTTTAATCAAACAGATCTCATTCTCCATTGACTACCATAGTAGGAAAAAATACATACTATGGTATGGGGGAATGAGATCTGTTTGATCTGGAACAACATGAGGGTGAGTAAACACTGACAGAATTTTCATTTTTGGGTGAACTAACCCTTTAATGCACTCACTTTGCACATGAAAATAGCAATAATAACATAACTGCAATGCGTACATAATAAATTGTATAGAATTTACATTGTACATACAATGAATCTACATACACTACCATTCAAAAGTTTAGGGTTGTGGTAATATTATAAAATTGTATCCATTTTAATTTAATAATTAAATGTAATTTATTCCTGTGATGGTAAAGCTGAATTTTCAGCAGTTTTCAATTCATCTAAAATCAATTGAATATGCTAAAATATTTATTGTTATTATTATTATTATTATTATCAATCTTAAAAACATATATTCACTAATTTAATTACTGACATAGGAATCTTAAATGTTTCTTATTTGTAATGTTTCTTTACTTGTTCAAAATCCTGAACTTGAATTATTTCCAGGTTTAAATTACATTGTGAACCCCATATTTTCAGTGTGGTCTCAGACTTTGAGCCAACTGTAGAGCACATGTTATAAAGCAAAGGCACTGAATTATAAAAGCATGTGTCAGACAGAGGTATTGCACAGTACAGCAGACTAGCCTCACTTTATACAAAGTAGAAGTTATTTTTATCTTCACCAAATGACTCAAAAGAAAATAAAACCACTAAATGGTGACGGCTCTCACCTGCATGCTGACTAGCTTCTGCTCCAGCTGCCTGTACTTTTCTCTCATCTCCTCATACTGCGTTTCTACCTCCGCAAGACGACTGCTGAGGCCGGGCAGAACTTTATAGCGCTCCATCAGTTCGCTCTTAATGTCCTCGACCTACACAGAGAGATTCATTTGTATGCATGCATGAAGGAAATATGAACAGGAAAAAGCATATTCATTTTCACACCAGAAACTAACGTTATTAAAAAGATTTCTGATATGTTAAACACTCCAACTATAAATATATAATTTATATAATTGAAAAAAAAAGTGTATATACCGATATAAATAAATCAAATGTAATATAAAGTTTATGAAATCTGTGTTGATTGTTATACCTTGGACTCTAGTGTGGTGTTCCTGACTGTCATCATTCTCAGGTGCTCAGATGCAAAACTGGACTCATGTTCTCTC